TGTTTTTTCCTCCGTATAAATAAATATAATTTACCGGTTATTAGATGCAAAATGGCTGTGCCAACAGTGTGGTCATACGAGATGTGTGTCAAATTTATCTACTTGCTTTTGTTTTGCCACCTTCCATTGGTTTGTAGTGTGGTCACATGAGGCGGTGTGCGTCAAATCCATCCACCTGCTCCTGATAATATTAGATTATTTCATGTTTACGTCTACTGTTTACTGAAAGGTCCATTGTCTAATGATAGAAAAGACCATTATACGTGTTCCTAATAATATTACATTATTTCAAGTTCACAGGTGTACTTTCTAATGAAAGGTTCACTGTCTAATGAAAAGACTATTATTCGTTCTATGACATCCAGGGTTAACATAATTCAGCACATTAATCCATATATTGATTACTGCCATTTTCATATAATACTTCAATAAAATTACACAATATATTAAACATACATTTGCATAAAGCATCCATATTTGTCCAGGCCCATGTTGACTAGAGTATAAAAAAACTTGAAAAATATTATTTTAAGGTACATTTACAACAGATAAAATTGTGCGATTAAGTTGTGATTAATCACAAGCAAATTTATTGCGGTTAAATATTTTAATCGATTGACAGCGCTAATATATATATATATACTCAAAAGTTTGGGATCAGTAAGATTTTTCATGTTTTTTTAATGGAGTCTCTTGTGCTCATCAAGGCTGTATTTATTTGATCAAAAATACAGAAAAAGAAAATTAATATTGTGATATATTATTTCAATTTCTAATATTGGTTTTCTGTTTTAATACACTTTAAAATATAATTTATTCCTGTGATGGCAAAGCTGAATTTTCAGCATCATTACTCCAGTCTTCAGTGTCACATGATCCTTCAGAAATCATTCTAATATGCTGATTTGTTATCAGCTGTGTTTTTATTTTTTTTTTACATACTGGTAAAAAATTTATAGCCTGAATGCACTGCAAGTCGCTTTGGATAAAAGTGTCTGCTAAATCCATAAATTATTAATTAAATAAAATTATCATAATTAATTAATTAATTATTATTATTACTTTTTTCTGTGCACAGATACATCTGTAGAATACTTAAAAAAAATAAAAAATAAAAAAAATAAATTGACTGATTCCAAAATTTTGAACGGTAGTGTATATTGTAACACAAGATTTCCATTTTGAATGCTGTTTTTTTTTTAATATTTTCATAAAATAATGCTGAAAAAAGTATCACAGGTTCCTAAAAACATGAAGCAGCACAACTGTTTCCAACATTGATAATAAAGCAGCATATTAGAATGATTTCTGAAGGATAACGTGACTGAAGACTGGAGTAATGATGCTGAAAATTCAGCTTTGCCATCACAGGAATAAATTATATTTTAAAGT